CAGGACGTGTTCCTTTCTCGGTCGCAATCGCAAGACACAGAAGTCAGCCGCGCACCCAACGCAACATCAACAAATTTTACTCCTCGGCCGACGAGTTGGCACGCCCCGCATTCACCGAATGATGTAGTTAGCTCGTAGATTACTCAGCCTGCGCGCCACGTAGGCTTGGTAGTTTTTAGGGTCAACAATATTATATGAATTAATTAAATTTATTATATCAGATATAAACAATTATTGAATACTTAAATTTCTTATAAAAGAACATACATATACGAATGTTTTATGTACATGTATAATATGCTTACCTAGAAAAAAAATATTATCTAAATAATTTATAATTTATGTAACATTTATATATATATATATATATATATATATATATATATATATATATCCCAAACTTTTTAAATATATAAAAAACCCACGCAAGTGGGTGTGGGTGGTTTCAATTAAAACCATCTGATGACCCTTGTCCACCTTACCTGTTCACATCATTCACATCACCCAAGGCCCATGTCCACCTTACCTCTTTCTTCTTCTTTGCCCTTTCAAAATCTCAAAGATTTATTTTACTCTCTCTCTCTCTCTCTCTCTTTGCACTCCCTCTTCCCTCAGACATCTCGATCCTTCTCCCTCCCTCTCTTTGTTTCTTCTTCGGTTCTCCCCCCATCTCTTCTCTGCAACTCACCTTCCCAAAGCAGACAAACAGACACACACCCCACTTCCCCGTGTTTGCCCCTTCCCCAATCCCTCGAACTTTCTCCTTCATTCCTCTCCTTGTTTCTTCTCCCCCCATCTCTACAACTCTCATTCCCAGAGCACAGACACACCACACCCACCCCCACCATGACCTCCACCACAGTGGCGCACACTCTAGCGAGCACCATCACCACCTGTGGACCATTCATCCTCCATTTCTCACCTCCCGGCGGCAGCAAGCACCATTAGCCTAAACTTTAGGCTGTATGAGGCAGAGGATCCATCAAACCCGAGCGAGTTTTGGGATCTAGAGAGAGGATTGCAAAGAGAGGCGCAGATCTTGGCAGCTGCAATGACGGAGCCTCAACTGCCATTGCGAGACTGAGAGAGAGCGATATTATCAATAATATCGCGATATTATCACAATAATCAAGTGGAACACTGTGAAAATATCGCTGTTGCAAAAAAACGATATTATCGGCGATATTTCGCCGATAATATTGATATTTTAGACATTGGTCATGGTCAACTCCACAAATCTCTTTGATATGGTTCCAAGGTTTCTTAGCCTCCCATTCACATTATTTCTGGAATTGAATACTAATTATTTCTAGAACTAGACAAAGGTACTAGCATTATTTTGTAAATTGAACAATTACTATTTCTAGAACTAAACACGAGTATCATAACTATTTCTTAAATAGTGTGCATTTTTTTGCTGTATTTCTATCAATAATGCTTATTTTATTCACTTTCAGAAATAGTGTGAATTTTTTTTTTTGTTCACTTTCAAAAATAATGTGGATTATTTAGTTATTTTGGTTAAATTTAAGAAATAGTGTGTAATTTTGCTGTAGTTTTAGAAATAGTGTGGGTTATTTTGGTTCAGTTTCATAAATAATTTGAATTATTTTGGTTTAGTTTCAGAAATAGTGTGAGTTATTTTGGTTTAGTTTCAGAAATAATGTGTAATTTTGCTATAGTTCTAGAAATAGTATGAGTTTTTTTTTTGTTCACTTTCATAAATAGTGGGTTATTTTGCTATAGTTCCAGAAATAATATTTATTTTGTTCACTTCAAAAAATAGGGAGTAATTTTGCTATAATTTCATAAATATTATAAGTTATTTTGGTTTAGTTTCAAAAATAATGTTTGTTATTTTGTTGTAGTTTCAAAAATAGTGTTTATTTTGTTCATTTTTATAAATAGTGTGAGTTTCTTTAGTTCAGTTTCAGAAATAGTGTATGTTATTTTGTTGTAATTAAAAAATAGTGTTTATTTTGTTTCATTCCATAAATAGTGTGTTATTTTAGTTCAATTTTCAGAAATAGTATGGGTCATCTTGCTGTAATTTCAGAAATAGTGTGAGTTATTTTAGTTTAGTTTTAAAAATAATGTTTGTTATTTTGCTAAAGTTTCAAAAACATTGTTTATTTTGTTCCTTTCCAGATATAGTGTGGGTTATTTTGCTGTAATTCTAGAAATAGTATGAGTTATTTAAAACTGTTTCAGAAATAGTGTGGGTTATTTTACTGTTATTCCAAAAACAGTTTCGTTCATTTCCAAAAATAATGTGGGTTATTTTGGTTCAGTTTCAGAAATAGTGTGAATTATTTTACTGTAGTTCTAGTGAGAACATATCTGAAGCACTTCTTGGGGCATTAGTAGCATAAGCTCTAACAAAACCAATATCTATTTTTCCAATTCTGGTTAAGTGAAAACAATGTCTGAAGTACTTTTTGAAGCATTAGTTGTCACATCCCAGCCCCGGGTCCACCACATCCCGAACCCGTTCCATCACCGTATCACGATATTATCCGCTTTGGACCCCGACTACACCCTCACGGTTTTGTTTCTGGAAACTCACACAATAATTTCCCAGTAGGCCTAAGAGGGGTGGATTGTAACATCCCAAATCGCCTAGGGGAATGAACCTTAAATGTATATTCCCATCCCTACCTAACACGAGGCCTTTTGGGAGTTCACTGGCTTCGGGTTCCGTAGGAACTTCGAGGTTAAGTGAGAAGGAGGCCAGAGCACTCCCATAATGGGTGACCCACTAGGAAGTTGTTCGTGAGTTCCCAAAAATAAAACCGTAAGGGAATAGTAAGCCCAAAGCTGACAATATCGTGCTACAGTGGTAGAGCGAGCTCGAGATGTGGTGAACCCGGGCCGGGATGTGACAAATTGGTATCAAAGCCAATCCCTGACCTGAAGTATGCCAACGAAGACGTTGGGTCCCTAAGGGGGGTGGATTGTAACATCCCACATCACCCAGGGGAGTGATCCTTAAATGTATATTCTCATCCTTACCTAGCACGAGGCCTTTTGGGAGTTCATGGACTTCGGGTTCTGTAGGAACTCCGAAGTCAAGCGAGAAGGAGGCCAGAGCACTCCCAAGATGGGTGACCCACTGGGAAGTTGCTCGTGAGTTTCTAAAAACAAAACCATGAGGGAATGGTAAGCTCAAAGCAGACAATATCGTGCTACGGTGGTAGAGCGGGCTCGGGATGTGACAAATTTAAGGTGGATTGTAAGATCCCACATCGCCCATGGGAGTGATCCTTATATGTATATTCCTATCCCTACCTAGTTCGAGGCATTTTGGGAGCTCACTGGCTTCGGGTTGCATCGAAACTCCGAAGTTAAACGAGTAGCGCGCGAGAGCAATCCCATGATGGGTGACCCACTGGAAAGTTTTTGTGTGAGTTCCCATAAACAAAACCGTGAGGACGTAGTCGAGACTCAAAGCGGACAATATCGTGCTTGGTCGGGATGTGACATCAGTAGCACCAATTACGACAATACCAATATCTGCTTTTTTAAACTGAATATTGATTATTTCTTAAATTGAATAATGTTATTATTGCTATTTTTTTAAATTGAACAAAGTTTTCCAACTTTTATTAGCTAAAACTAGCATTAGTAGATTCAAAAGTACGAAACTCTGCAAACAAATCAAATTTACATATAAATAGTTATATTTTGTTTAACATCGTCCAAAGAATTGCAAAAAAATATGGTGACCAACATGATCTAACATCAAATAATTCCACAACTTGGTAAGGAAATAGAATTCCCTATTAGTCAAGGAAGATCGTAGTTATACAGTTTAAGATAATTTTCTTCCATCAACAGAAGAAGTACAACTAATAATACCAAGGCATGCAGTTTCGTGACAAATTTCTGAAGATACCTTCGAAGCATGGCTTCCTTATCTACGAAAAACTATCTTACTCTTTCGGTATCCCAATTAGGAAGGAGAATACCTCAATGATAGTAAGCCCACCATTAAAACCTACATGTGGTACACCAAAGCGTAAGTCGAAGAAAAATGCCCTCAAGTATCATTTGCCGTCCAAGCCCACCAGCTCCAGCTTTCGGCTGCCAGAGTCTTCACCTTCATCATTAATTTCTTCGAAGGAAAACTAATGAAAATGACTTAAAAACTTTGAGTTTTAACGATAAGGACAAAATAAAAGGTAAAATGAATAATACCATAATTGACTTTTTAGTGCAAAAATGTGGTTTTTCGTTAAAATAAACAGTACCGGAAGCTTTTTGTTAAAGTTCCATTTAATTCGATTGGAGAAATTCAATAACAAAATAAAGAAATCGTGAATTGAAATCAGGAACGAAATAAAAAATATGCAAATCTTTCAAACGAGAGACCGAAACGAGAAGAGCGTGTACTATTTGACAGGAGAAACTGAGCTTAGAGGCTCGATACTGAGCCACTTTCCCATGCTTATCGGATTTGATGATTCAATTGATTTGTGAACCGGTGGAATTCGAATTGAAAATGAGAGAGAGAGAGAGAGAGAGAGAGAGAGAGAGAGAGAGAGAGAGAGATTGCAAAAATGGAAGAAGTGAAATTGAATCGGAAATAAAAGCAATAACAGAGAAAAGATTTTTATTCTGACGAGAACACAAATGGTACATTACGTATTTTGATAGAAGTTGTGAGAAATTTTATTTTTTAAGTTATTAACTTTTTAGCACACATATTTCACTATTTGTATAGTAACACATGCTGTATCACTCCGTGTACCGGTCACACTGAAAAATCTCTCGAAAAGATGAAAGATCGAGAAAGGGAGAGAGACATTAAACGGGGAAGGGAATGCCGTTAAGGGCAAAATTGAAAATTCATTGTTTGGGCCATTTTGATTGGACTAATTTAATGTTGAGTTTTGTCATAATTATTAAATAAAGTTACTAAATGATTTTGAATAACATTCAAAGTTTTCAAGTCATTTTCATTAATTTTCGTTATAATTATCTCTACCCAAAAGTGTAAGTAAGAAACATAGAGATTTGCAAACTGATTAAATTACACACCGAATTTGAGTAGATATCAAAGGGCAAACATTGATAGGCCAGTTGCAACACTGCGGTTTGTAACATGCTCTAACATATCTCGCTGGTTTATTAAATGATATTACACATAGTCACTCAAACAGAAAACATTACAGACACGACATTGTGATCAACAAGCCTGGAACGTCACCATTGTTCAATAGCCGGCATTATCAGGTCCCTAAGGTTCTCACCCACTGCAAGATTCGCACCCACAGCACCCACAGCAAGGTTCGCACCCACAGCACCCACAGCAGTTCTCAAACAAGCCCCAGCAGGTCAAAATATTAGACCTGCAGCGGTAACACCAAGATGATAAGAACTTAGAAAAAAACTTGAAAACAATAATAATATAGGCACACGGACATAAAACCACTCTTATCCTAATTTTGCGTCGGACATAATTTTACTCGTAAATAAGAGCATGTTTGCTACTTTTTTTGAAACTAACTTTTTCAACTCAAAAAAGATTTTCAAGTTTTAAGCCTTAAAAATTTGTTTGGTGAGACTATTTTTAAAAACTGAATTCAAGACTAATTCACAAATATAGTCTATATTATCTAAAAACACATAAAGTGAGTTCTTAAACCTAAACTCACTCATTTCTTTTCTTTTCATCCTCTCCTTTCACTCCAAATTTCTCTCTTTTCTTCTTTCTCTCTCCCCCTTCTCTTTTATTTACCTCTTTCGTCTCCTTTGCAATCCGCTCACTTCATTCTCTTGGTTCTTTCTCTCACTCATCTTTCTCTCTATCTCCTATGATCCTCACTTCTTTTTCTTTCCTCCAATCATCTCTTACTTTCTTTCCTCCTCTCTCTTCTTTTCTTCTCGACCCCCTCTTTTTGGATCTCTTTGTCCAGTTTAAGTTGTAAGATTTAAAAATTTTAAACAGCATACCAAACAAATTTTTGAATCTTAAAAAAAATTGTTTTCAAGAAAAATTCTTTAAGAAATGTTTTGAAAAATTATAAATTTTTTTAAATAGAATACCAAACAAGCCCAACGATTTCTGAATTTTGCCAACTCACCACCATGTCATCGCTGCGCCACAGCATGATAGCGCTGCGACACAGAGTTCACATAAGCAACAAATGCCGCCCAGCCCTTTTCCTCCTTCCCGCCGTCCATCTGTTTTTGTCATTCCTTTCTGATGATGTGATCTCTCTCTTGATCAAAGAAGCACTGTGGTGGATATATATTCTACAGCTTCCTTTGATGAAATGCTGTTGAGATTGTACCAGCTATATATAGAGGAGCCAACCGGTCCTGACCCAAGCTTTCAAGATCAAGTCCCTAAGGTTTATTGAGTTTTCATCGAGAATTTATTCTTAAGGACAAATTTACCCTTAGAATTAACTGGAAAATGTATTCGTGCTTTACTACAGGTGCTAAATGTATTATACAAGACATGCATGAATAATTTCCACACAAAATAACCAAAAAGGTGGTCGGAACGGAATCACATCCTCAAGAAGCATTACCCAGCTGCAGAAGCCATGACAAGAAACGCTTCAACTAGAAGAGTGTTGACCACGAATTAAAGAACCTTCTGTTTTCATATACGCCATGCAGTTTCCCTCTTAGAGAACCTTGGAATATTTACAATTAACACCTTCAATTTGGGGAGCATTTAAAAATATCATTTCATTGTTACCAGTAATTTGTCAAGTGACGTAACCCTCGTAAATCACAATGACGTACATTATTCTTCTAGGAAGCAAGACCACAAACAAATGAATGATGTGGATAGGACAGATATGCCCATCTGTCAATTCCTGCAATGGTTACGTGCTGTCGCCAACATAGAAGGAGGATTCTCTCCCCTCCTAATCTCTCTCATCTTCCTCCCCCTCCTATTTGAACAATTACGGTTAAACAATATGCAAGAGGAGGGAAGGGAAGAGGATGAGAATAGGAGGGGAGAGAATTATACTCCGCCAACATATGCTATTCAAAATATAAGAGTTGTGCATAACATCACTCAATTTCAAAATTTCATCTGACCTTCTGTATCAACTCTTGGATTGTTTAGATAAAGCTCGAGTTGACAAGCTAGTGCTTACATATATAAATAACCGACACCTCATTTGATGAACAAAACTTGACGAAGAAGTTTGGCGTTTATAAAATTGGAGAAAAGAATAATAATCAAGATGAAGATATACATAATAGAGACAATTTCTCTCACCAATCCACCATCCAACAAATTGAAAAATGAACAAACAAACAAACAAACAAAAACAAAACGATATCTCGTAAATATTGGGAAAGAAAAAGAAGGGAATTGGGATTATAAAATTAAAAAAAAAATTGTATTTACCCCTGCATTTCTAATGAAACAATTACACTATGCTAGAAGAAGCTGGGGCAGATAAAACTCACTCCGGCACCAAATCCAAACTCCGAAACTCAGGATTGTAAAGAGGCAACCAACATTTCGTGATTACGTTCCCGAACCTCGGGAGTTCGTAATTACGTTCCCATCGTATGAACTCGCGTTCAAGCCGCACTTCTCTTTCCTCTAACACGAGCATCGTGATGGTTCTCTCTATGGTTTCCTGTACAGGATTTTGAAGTTTCTCGCCCATCGTGTCCAGTATGTTTCTTCCGTCTTGGACCACCGGCAGAAGCAGGGTCGACCAACGGACCTGACCAAGCTTGTAGTGACTCTTTAGGGTAACTGAATGAGGTTGTGCTGAATCAAATAACTAATTTTGCTATTAGAGCAATGCTTTCCTTTTTCAAATTTTAAACCAAAGTCATACTATAATATAGGGAGGCAGATTGTCTGCCATCATGTTTGGGTGCCTTTCTCATCTCCTTCTATTTTATGCTGTCACGATTAAACTACGTTAATATTTTATATTAATTTTTTATAGAAATAATAAGACAAAAAACAATAAGAATATAAAATGTTAACGTGGCTTAACCGTGACCTCACAAATAGGAGAGGATGAGAAAGGCACCCAAACAGGAGGGCAGACAATCTGCCTCATAATGTAGATCACTTACAGTTAACAATTACATTAATAACTACTAATGTAAGAAATGACAGACTACCAACTCAAGATAGCATATCCCTTACTCAAATAACTGGATTTGGATCCCCTCCTGAGCAAATGGTGGGGATCCTCATGACCATACAACACGGGCCTTTGGATTTGATCCAACGGCTACAAAACGGAGGTCCTTCTAAAAGTTATAATAATTGTAATCGTTTGATCAAAATCCAATGACCCGTATTGTGTGGTCATGAAGATCCCCACCATTTGCTCAGGAGGGGATCCAATTCCCAAATAACTTTCCCTCTAGCTTTGCAGTGGAGCCTTGTTTATGGAGTCTATGTTATGTTCGTACAAAAAATAAATTTACCATTTAAGGTCTACAACTTCCAATGACAAATGTGACAATAGCTTTCACTTCTCCCTTATATGTCATGGTCAACTCCACAAATCTCTTTGATATGGTTCCAAGGTTCCTTAGCCTCCCACTTATTTCTGGAATTGAATACTAACTATTTCTAAAACTGGACAAAGGTACTAGCACTATTTTGTAAATTAAACAATTACTATTTTTAAAACTGAACACAGGTACCATAACTATTTCTGAAATAGTGTGCATTTTTTTTGCTGTATTTCTATCAATAATGTTTATTTTATTCACGTTCAGAAATAGTGTGGATTTTTTTTGTTCACTTTAAAAAATAATGTGGATTATTGAGTTATTTTGGTTAAATTTAAAAAATAGTGTGTAATTTTGCTGTAGTTTAAAAAATAGTAGGAGTTATTTTGGTTTAGTTCCAGAAATAGTGTGAGTTATTTTGGTTCAGTTTCATAAATAATGTGGGTTATTTTAGTGTAGTTTCATAAATAGTTTGAATTATTTTGGTTTAGTTTCAGAAATAATGTGAGTTATTTTTGTTCAGTTTCAGAAATAGTATGTAATTTTACTGTAGTTCTATAAATAGTGTGAGTTCTTTTGGTTCAGTTTCATAAATAATTTGAATAATTTTGGTTTAATTTCAGAAATAGTGTGAGTTATTTTGGTTCAGTTTCAGAAATAGTGTGTAATTTTGTTGTAGTTCTAGAAATAGTGTGAGTTCTTTTGGTTTAGTTTCATAAATAATAGGTTATTTTGTTGTAGATCTAGAAATAATGTTTATTTTGTTCACTTTAAAAAATAGTGTTCGGTATTTTGCTGTAGTTTAAAAAATAGTGTTTATTTTGTTTCATTCCAGAAATAGTGTGTTATTTTGGTTCAGTTTTCAGAAATAGTATGGGTCATCTTGCTGTAATTTTAAAAATAATGTGAGTTATTTTACTTCAATTTTAAAAATAATGTTTGTTATTTTGCTGAAGTTTCAAAAACATTGTTTATTTTGTTTCTTTCCAGAAATAATGGTGGTTATTTTGCTGTAATCTAGAAATAGTATGAGTTATTTTGAAACTGTAGACATCGAAATTTCAGTAAATAAATGTTGACCGATAAATCAAAGTGTCAACGCTCATGTATTACATAAATTTTACACGTAGCGTGTGTCTTAACGAAAATTGAAATGAGTTGGAAAAGTCATCAAATAGGACACGTGTCAACACCTGGCAGAAACGACTTATTTCATCTGGGATATTATATTCAAAATTAGGCCTTGGAAAATTCTATAAATACAAGTCCATTTCATTCATTTGGAGGGGGGGACCAAAATCATTAGGCAAAATTCTTAAAGCTCTGAAGCTCTAAAACTCCGAAGCTCTCAAGCATCCAGGTTCCCGAAGAATCAAGAAAGCTCTCTTCGCTCTTCGTTCTTCGTTCATCGTTCATCCTAAGATCAAGCCCCAACGGCCCTTTGGATCAACAATCATCCACCAATTCAAGATCAAGCCCCGACGGCCCTTGAAGAGAGTGTTCTTCGTTCATCGTTCTTCCAACATCAAGCCCCGACGCCCCTTGGATCAAATCCACCTTCAAGATCAAGCCCAAAAGCCCTTGAAGATTCGTTCATCACTGTTCTTCAAGATCAAGCCCAAAAGCCCTTGAAGATCCGCTCATCACCGTTATTCAAGATCAAGCCTCAACAGCCCTTGAAGAAACACTCATCCTCAAGATCAAGCCCCAACGGCTCCTTGAAGATTCGCTCAAATCCACCTTCAAAGATCAAGCCCACGACCATTTGAAGAAACTTCCAACAGTTCATCCAAGATCAAGCCTCGACGGCCCTTGGATCAACGAAACATCCACAAATCAACACCTTACGGAGATCGAATCAGAGGATCACAATAGAGAGAGATTGTAACCCAAACTCCTCAAATACAAATATTTGTTTGTGCACGTTGTTCTTGTCTCTTTCGTTTCAGGAATTTTTCGTGTTCACAGAAACTGTTTTAGAAATTGTGTGGGTTATTTTACTATTATTCCAAAAACAGTTTCGTTCATTTCCAAAAATAGTGTGGGTTATTTTGGTTTAGTTTCAGAAATGGTGTGAATTATTTTACTGTAGTTCTAGTGAGAACATATCTGAAGCACTTCTTGGGGCATTAGTAGCATAAGCTCTGACAAAACCAATATGTATTTTTTTCGAATTCTGGTTCAGTGAAAACAATGTCTGAAACACATTTTGGAGCATCAATAGAACCAGTTACGACAATACCAATATCTGCTTTTTTAAATTAAACATTGACTATTTATTAAATTGAATAATGTTATTATCGCTATTTTTTTAAAACTGAACAAAGTTTTCCAACTTTTATGAGCTAAAACTAGCATTAGGCAAACAAATCAAATTTACATATAAATAGTTATATTTTGTTTAACATCGTCCAAAGTATTGCCAAAAAATATGGTGACCAACATGATCTAACATCAAATAATTCCACAACTTGGTAAGGAAACAGAATTCCCTATTAGTCAAGGAAGATCGTAGTTATACAGTTTAAGATAATTTCCTTCCATCCATAGAAGAAGTACAACTAATAATACCAAAGCATTATATACCAAAAATGCATTTGATATCAAGCATGCAGTTTCGTGACAAATTTCTGAAGATACCTTCGGAACATGGCTTCGTTATCTACGTAAAACTATCTTACTCTTTCAATATCCCAATTAGGAAGGAGAATACCACAAAGATACTCATTATGTCCTCCAGTTATCTTCTCACGGAAGAATTCCTCAATGATAGTAAGCCCACCTTTAAAACCTACATGTGGTACACCAAAGCGTAAGTCGAAGAAAAATGCCCTCAAGTGTCATTTGCCGTCCAAGCCCACCAGCTCCAGCTTTCGGCTGCCGGAGTCTTCACCTTCATCATTAATTTCTTCAAAGGAAAACTATGAAAATGGCTTGAAAACTTTGATTTTTAACGATAAGGACAAAATAAAAGGTAAAATGAATAGTAACTGAAATGACTTTTTAGTGTAAAAATATGGTTTTTCGTTAAAATGAGCAGTACTGAGAGCTTTTCGTTAAAGCTCCCTTTAATTCAATTGGAGAAATTCAATAACAAAATAAAGAAACCGTGAATTGAAATCAAGAACGAAATAAAAAATATGCAAATCTTTCAAACAAGAGACCGAAACGAGAAGAGAGTGTACTATTTGCAGGAGAAACTGAGCTTAGAGGCTCGATACTGAGCCGATTTCCCGTGCTTATCGGATTCGATGATTCAATTGATTTGTGAACCGGTGGAATTCGAATTGAAAATGAAAAGGAGATTGGGGAGAGAGAGAGAGAGAGAGAGAGAGAGAGAGAGAGAGAGAGAGAGAGAGAGAGAGAGAGAGATTGCAAAAATGGAAGAAGTGAAATTGAATCGGAAATAAAAGCAATAACAGAGAAAAGATTTTCATTGTGACGAGAACACATGGTACATTACGTGTTTTGATAGAAGTTGTGAGAAATTTTATTTTTTAAGTTATTAACTTTTTAGCACACATATCTCACTATTTGTATAGTGACACATGATGTATCATCTCGTGTACCGATTACACTGAAAAATCTCTCGAAAAGATGAAAAATCGAGAAAGGGAGAGAGACATTAAACGGGGAAGGGCATGCCGTAAGGGCAAAATTGAAAATTCATTATTTGGATCATTTTGATTGGACTAATTTAATGTTGAGCTTTGTCATAATTATTAAATAAAGTTACTATATGATTTTTGAATAACATTCAAAGTTTTCAAGTCATTTTCATTAGTTTTCGTTATAATTATCTCTGCCCACCCAGCAGTGTATGGCAATTATCTCTGCCCAAAAGTGTAAGTAAGAAACATAGAGATTTCCAAACTGATTAAATTACACACCGAATTTGAGTAGATATCAAAGGGCAAACACTGATAGGCCAGTTGCAACACTGCGGTTTGTAACATGCTCTAACATATCTCGCTGGTTTATTTAATGATATTACACATAGTCACACTCAAACAGAAAACATTACAGACACGACATTGTGATCAACAAGCCTGGAACGTCACCATTGTTCAATAGCCGGCATTATCAGGTCCCTAAGGTTCTCACCCACTACAAGATTCGCACCCACAGCACCCACAGCAAGGTTCGCACCCACAGCACCCACAGCAGTTCTCAAACAAGCCCCAGCAGGTCAAAATATTAGACCTGCAGCGGTAACACCAAGATGATAAGAACTTAGAAAAAAACTTGAAAACAATAATAATATAGGCACACTGACATAAAACCACTCTTATCCTAATTTTGCGTCGGACATAATTTTACTCGTAAATAAGAGCATGTTTGCTACTTTTTTTTAATCTAACTTTTTCAACTCAAAAAAGATTTTAAGCCTTAAAAACTTGTTTGGTGAGACTATTTTTAAAAACTGAATTCAAGACTAATTCACAAATATAGTCTATTATCTAAAAACACATAAAGTGAGTTCTTAAACCTAAACTCACTCATTTCTTTTCTTTTCATCCTCTCCTTTCACTCCAAATTTCTCTCTTTTCCTCTTTCTCTCTCCCCCTTCTCTTTTTTTTACCTCTTTCGTCTCCTCTGCAATTCGCTCACTTCATTCTCTTGGTTCTTTCTCTCACTCCTCTTCCTCTCTATCTCCTTTGATCCTCACTTCTTTTTCTTTCCTCCAATCATCTCTTACTTTCTTTCATCCTCTCTCCTCTCTTTTTTCTCGAAACCCTCTTTTTGGATCTCTTTGTCCAGTTTAAATTGTAAGATTTAAAAAATTTAAACCGCATACCAAACAAATTTTTAAGTCTTAAAAAAAATTGTTTTCAAGAAAATTTCTTTAAGAAATGTTTTGAAAAATTATAAAAAATTTCAAATAGAATACCAAACAAACCCAATGATTTCTGAATTTTGCCAACTCACCACCATGTCATTGCTGCGACACAGAGTTCACATAAGCAACAAATGCCGCACAGCCGTCTATCTGTTTTTGTCATTCCGTTCTGATGATGTGGTCTCTCTCTCTCTCTCTTGATCAAAGAAGCACTGTGGTGGATATATATTCTACAGCTTCCTTTGATGAAATGCTGTTGAGATTGTACCAGCTATATATAGAGGAGCCAACCGGTCCTGACCCAAGCTTTCAAGATCAGGTCCCTAAGGTTTATTGAGTTTTCATCGAGATTTATTCTTAAGGACAAATTTACCCTTAGAATTAATTGGAAAATATGCTCGTGCTTTACTACAGGTGCTAAATGTATCATACAAGACATGCATGAATAATTTTCACACAAAATAACAAAAAAGATGGTCGGAACGGAATCACATCCTCAAGAAGCATTGCCCAGCTGCAGAAGCCATGACAAGAAACGCTTCACCTAGAAGAGTGTTGACCACGAATTAAAGAACCTTCTCTTTTCATATACGCCATGCAGTTTTCCTCATAGAGAACCTTGGAATATTTACAATTAACACCTTCAATCTGGGGAGCATTTAAAAATATCATTTCATTGTTACCAGTAATTTGTCAAGTGACGTAACCCTCGTAAATCACAATGACCTACATTATTCTTCTGGGAAGCAAGACCACAAACAAATAAATGATGTGGACAGGTCAGATATACCAATCTGTCAATTCTTGCAAAGGTTAGGTGCTGTCGCCTAGGAGGAGGATTCTCTCTCCCCTTCTCTTCCTTCCTATTTGAACGGTTACGGTTAAGCAATATGCTAGAGGATGGGGACCTGACTTCTCTGCCCTCCCACTTCCCATACACTCCCATCTCTTACTATTTGTATGGTTACGGTTAAGCCACGTCAACATTTTATATTACTATTGTTTTTTGTCTTATTATCTCTATATAAAAATTAATATAAAATGTTGACATGGCTTAACCGTGATCGCACAAAATAGGAGGGGATGAGAGTGTATGGGAAATAGGAGGGCAGAGAAGCCGGGTGCAGAGGAGGGGAGGGAAGGGGATGGGAATAGGAGGGGAGAGAATTATACTCCACCAACATATGCTATTCAAAACATAAGAGATTCTACAGCTGTAATTTCTAATAAAAACTACACTCAGTGGTTTAATTTAATTCCATATGAAACGAACCTTCAAGTTCAGAAACAAGTCATGTTAAGAAACTCAAAATACAAAAATTCTAATGCTCATATAAAGAAATGTTTCAAAATAAACCTTCAAATATTATGCATGGTTCAAGTTGAGCTTCAGAATGACCCCCAGCAATTTCATTTGATCCATCGAAAATAGTGCTTACAACGTTTTCTAAAGCCGACTGCATGTTTTCCATCACAACTACGTCCTGGAATTGCACAGAGGATGGAGATTTATAAGAATCATCAATGCAAGCAATACTGGAATGCTGGAAACTCAAAAGATAGCAAATTGAACTCTGAAAAGTGCTTGTGACCAAACCTGAGCAGGCATTGGAGAAAGCAATAGGCTTTTGATGATTGTATCAATTCTTTCAGAAACTTTAGATCCAGCTATAAGAGGCTTGTATAAAGCGACCAACCTGATCAGTTCTAACGGCATTAAGATCATTCATCAGGGAAAGAAAACTTTTGAAAAACGCAGGCCAAGGAAGGGCAGGTGAACTATTCTCAAAACTTCTAGTGTAAACCAGAACAAAGAGAAACTTCTATAAGATGCAAGATAGCATAAGATGCCTGACAGCATAAATGGTCAACATGAAAAGAAATGAGCTAGACTTCAAGGTTACTTTAATGGATCCTCTACTCTGAATCGCAATTACTAACAAAGTCAAGGAATGTACCCATCCATCCATGTCTCTGTACATGGATTTAATTAGTTAAATCCATGAGGGAAGTAGGAGGTTTTTGTTTTTGGTTTTTTATTTTATTTTATTTTATTTATTTTTATTTATTTTTTATAAATATTTGAGGTATTTTAACATCACCTATAAATGAGTTTTCAATAAAAACAGTAAAATTTGGACCTATGAAATTATATTATCGCCCATCATTTTTTTGTGTGATAGAAGACTTAATAGTCTTTTTACCCTCTTTTGGTTGATAAAGAGGATTTCATTAATTAATAGATAATCCTATTCCACAGAAACTATACATGTCATACAAAATTTTATACTAACTGAACTGAAGAAGCATGAGCTAATATACGGAAACAAAAATATCCAAGTTCTAAGAACTACTAACCAACTTTGAACGATACTGGCCAAAAGTCCCCTTGTCCTCAACGTCATCACTCCATAATTCCAAATGCCCTAAAGAAAATGCTATTCCGTGAATTACTTTTTCTCTCTTGAGCATGTGTTGGAAAGATACATCCAGAATCGCACTACATATATCATCATTCAAAAAAATTAAGATTTTTCTCTTTTCAATATCGACTGGATCAGAACCATCTCCAGCTGAGTGAGCAACAGCCTTTGGCTTTGACATCAAGTCTCTCATTAGTGCCTAAACATGCGTGGAAGACGATTCAACGTGGTATGCAGCGTATGACATAGTCTCAATTATCCGTACATTACAACAATAATTGGGAAATTATCTTCATACCAGCGAAAAGGTGAGAGATTGAAGATGAAGAGCTGCCTTAAAATGTTGGAAAAACCCCAGCATCTGAGAAAAAAGAATAAAATGAGTCATTCTATTTCAATAACTAATCACTTGTTGACAGAACGAAATGAACAAGCAGAAAAGAGTTGTAATACCCTGATGCTCTAGTTACCTGTTGTAAATAAAGAGGTAGCACGGCGCTATCACCAGCAATACAATGCAAGTTTGTGGAACCCAAAGACAACATACTTTCACATATGTATTCCGCAAACTCAATATCGCTTTCATCAATAACCCTAGTACTGGGGCTAGATCTGTACAAAAAATCTTTGGAGACATTCATCAGTATTTGAAAGATGTTACTCATTGCAGAATCAAATTCAGGAGCATAGGTATCATCAATAGGTCTCTTCCTGCATGTCATAAATCAGGATAATACAACTGTTACGGAAATGTTTTAAGAAGGGGAAAAAACATATTTTATAACTATCTATTATATTGAAAAAGCAATTGAAAATACTATATTTCATACCTTTGGGAAACAAGTTTGAAAAACTCACAAGCATGGAGACGAAAATCAGGTGAAGAAAGTAAGAAACCACACCTGTGCATGCAGACAGAGAGAGACTGAGGAGTAAGAAGGAGACACTTGCCAACAGCTTCAAATCAAAATCCACAAAAACATATGCATTAACAGCATTTAAAGTAGCTGCTACTGTTGCTGCATGTTGTTTTGCAGGGTCGAATTGTTGTTATCCTGCTTCACTCAACGCAGCTCCGAAGTGCCTCTCTAGTAACTGCACATTTTAATTCATTAGGACAAATCCATTGTATGCAACTTCTTTTAAAATTTAAGAAGCAAGACATACAGTGTATTATAAAGGCAAAATTTCAGGTAAAGGGTCAGCCCACGCAGCAATAGCCTTCTCCGATCTCCTGTATTAACAGTTAAGAATCAGGGTAAGGCCACATGCAGCAATCTAAATCTAGAGAACAAGCATTGCATGCACGCACACACACACACACACACACACACTCCACTCAATTCACAGGCAAGAGGAAAAGAGTACACAAGACACAATTCTGGTTAAACCTTCCAAATCTTCATTGTGAACAGTAATATCCACCTTAGCGTCATGGAGACTAACTCAGCCTAATATTAAAAAGGAGTAGGTGATTACCAAAACCATGTTTTAAATGAAATACAGAGTGAACAAGGAGGAAAAATATTTACTTGAATAGGACCCTTGTAGGATAATGAAACGAGAGTTGGAAACAGTTCTTGCCATAGATTTAGTTCTTCCCTTCTAACCATCTGTAACAGATTAAAACAAGTGAGTGTTACAATGGAAAACTAACCCTTGACGGTTTAAATAGAGTCAAGAGAAATGCTGTGTAAACCTCGGCAACAAGGGCAGCTGTCTGACTTTTAAAGCCCACTCCTCACCAGGACTTGCAATATCAGATCAACAGTGATATTTGCAAAGTTTCTACGCTCTGTAGAGCATAGTTCTTCCCACCGCAATCGCACCAAATGCTGCTAGAAAATATGCATATTCTTGTCGCGCTACTCATGCCGCAGAACTTTACATGGTTATATAATTAGATGGTAAAATTTTCAGATAAATTCTATTCGACTGCTAAATGGGGGCAGGGAGACAGAAAACCTATTTCGAAAATTCTTGTAACCACATTTTACATGACTCAGGATTTCGGCAATTTTAACAGAAATTTGAGATTTATCAGGAAGTTGCTTTTACATCTCTGGTTGTAAAGCTTCAACCTTTTCTTTTCTGGACAATTTCTTCCCTATGAACACTATGCATGTACATGAACCCTGCCCTTATTCCTTTATTATGATCCCAATAAGGCGCAAAGAACAAAACTTAAGTATGCTATCAAGTTCAAAATAATTTACATTACCGGGGCAGTTGGATGTTAAAGGAAACCATATCCTCAAATCAACCAATTACCATCTCCATCAGACCAATTAGACCACTTAAATAGTAAAATAAATACCATACAACCTCATTACATTATTGAAGAAAATAAAAGAACATTTGACGCAGTTAGTTCCTAATAAACCTTGCATTTTCAAATTTGATCTCCTGACAATGGCCTTTGGATCAAACCAAAATATTAAAATAGCTACAAATCAAATAGAAATATGTATAAAGAACACTCCTTGAGATAGCATACCTGTAACATTTTAAATGCATGCAACCGAATTTCGGAAGACCAATCCTTCTTCACTAAAAGAAACGCAGTGTTTGCCAAAATACGCACATCTCCGTTTTTTATTTGCAGAAATTAAACAGAATGATTGATCAACAATGGAAAACGAAATAGCTGCTTAAACCAAGTAACTGATTGCACAACATTGTAGCCTTTCAACACTCCAACAGTGGGAGCGAGACACTACATTTGATTCGTTTATTTTTCCTTTTTGGGTTTGGGGTTTCTTAGGACGTGTCATCTAAGAAGAAAAAATAAAACGTCTTTGTTGGAAAGATAAT